CGGGTCCCGGGCTGCCGGTGCTGCCGCCGCTCACCTGCCGCGGCCGGACTGGCGGGCAGCAGATGCTTCAGTTGCTTGTGTTGGTAGTGCCCTTCAGGGTGAAACCTCCGGCCCTCTGTTAACCTCCTTAACCTTTTGTAACGGTATGTATTCTGCGCACGTTAAACGTTGTTCTACCACGTAACTCAAAGCTGTGATTTCCGTTTGCCTTTGGAAAGACGGGAACTGCTCCGGCAGGATTTGTACTCCTCCAGGCTTGCTTATCTGTGACTCTAAGCTATCGTAACCCCAAGAGCCAGCCAAAAAGGCTTATGTCAGATCCTGAAAATGCTGATGCGGATTTCTGTAGTAAGAAGAAGGAGCCCTAGTGGCGGTTGTAGTTTCAGATCCCAAACTTGAGAGCCAGGTTTTTGTAGAGCGCGTTTCTAAAGCGGACAAAAAGGTTGTGTCTGTGCCAGCACAGTGACATTTCTTGTCGGTGCCTTAGTACTTTTGCTAGCTAAGCTATTAATAAAGTTATTTGTGCCCCTAGACAATAGCAAAAGTGCCTAGTGGGAAGGAGGGGGAGGCCTGTTTGGGTTTTTAGACTCATTGCTATTTAATTGTGTCAGCTGGGGGTGATACGGCTACTGGGTTACAGATACTGCAGGCAGAATCACTGTTGGGGTGAAAAAAGTTCATATGTTGTTTTAATAAATATTTGAAAACAATGTTAAAGCACGTTTTTTTATTGTTCTGCTTAAGATGCTCTGGATTTACAACATGTTGTAATAATGTCTTTTCAGAAAAAAAAAAAAATTGCAAGTATGTAGATCCTGCCAAATGAAATAACTTGCTTTTTAGTTAAATAAAAATTTACAGACTCGAGGTAAGCAAGTTTCATTAAAAGTGATGATGCAGAAGAGCGTGTAGGGTGGATCTTTTTTGAGTTTGTAAGCCCTTTCAAGAAAGTCATGGCACTGGAGGAGAAGCTGTTTGATGTACATTTGAGGTCTGATCTTGTGAACCCTACTCGCGTTCAGTTATACTTTCATCTGCAAAGCATCCCGTTGGAAAGTTACTCAGTGATGAGGTGGGTCAACATAAGTCACCTGGGATGAGAGCGCTGGAAGCACCAGGGAAACGTCTGGTGAAGGTATGTGTTTACAGAACCTCTGGACCTTCCAGGCATCGCTTTTGCTAAAGGCAGTGAGGTGTAGCTCCTAGCAGGGTACTTCAGATGTCAGTTTGCACCTTTAGATCCCCAATATCTTTGAAGATCTGCCTGGAAAAAATGAAACACTGATTAACTTCAGTGGAACTACTTGGTGTTATTTTCAAGTATGTTGTCGAGTTAGAAGGTATGACAGGTTGTAGCTCTTAAATTTCTTTGTGATACTTTCCTTGCCACTAGGGTTAAGATAGAACAACACAAGAGCGAAAAGGGCCATCTGTGAGTCACTGAGTCCTGTCTGCCCCCTGTCACAGCAAACCATACAGCATTTCTGGGATGGACCGAGCTCCAGAAGTGCCTGAGGGTTTCATTCACGCCCAGTCTCTCTCTCCCCGAATCTTACCCATTTAGAAGTAGGTGCCAACTATGTCATGCGGTTCCATTTGTGCCCAGATGTTTCTTAAAAGGAGTTTTAGTCTCTGCTTACCCACTTTCTGAGTCATTGGTTATAACATGAATTGTAAACATCAGTCAAGAAACTAAACTGGCAGGCCATGCTAGTTTTTTAGCCATGCGAGAGCAGTATTCAAATCCTAATAGAAAAATAGTAGTAGTAGTAGTGTAAAACACAGCTTCTTGAATATGCTTTAAGCAGCTTGGCTATTCGAGTTGCAGTAGCAAACTTTGAGTCAAGCTCAAGCTATCCCAACGTATGCAGCACACCAAGAGAGTAAATGTTTGCAGAGCGCTTAATTTTCAAAGCAGATTATGTGGCCTGTGGAGATTTCCAGTGTAACTCATTCCACTCGATACCACTGTATGTAAGCTGTCACCTAATGCAACAGGACCACTAATAAAATCCACTACTAATATTTCACGTGATAAATACAAATATTTTGATAAATATCTCCACTGATATTTGTTTTCAGCAAAATGCAAACATTTTAATATTTGAAATTGAAATAAATTCAGAATTTTGCTCTGTAACATTGATTATAAAAGGTTTAAAAATGTTCTTTTTCAAAAAGAAAATGTGTACAGCTGAGTCTGGTCTATGTGTGAGTTCACATGTTTAGTAAAATGGTCAATCTTTAGTAGGTTTGGTGAGGCCATTTAAGTCTAGAATTTGATGTATATCATTTTGGCTGGTTTAAGCAAATGTATATGTTAAATGTGTCAGTTTTGAGTCAGAGCTGATTAAATAGCTTTTATAAACCTCCAGTGCCTGCAAGAACTCGGTGTTTAGTGTTATCCAGCAGTTTAAAGTTTTACATTCAAAATGGTTCTTTAAAAACTATGAAAACTATACTGCGATCCTCTTCGCAATCTTTTTTTTTTTTTCTGCTTTTGCTTTTTTATGGCATCAAACTTAATTAATTAGAACAGATTAAGATTCTCTGGGTTTATACAGTCTGCTTCAAATAGTAAAGGCCTTTTTATTGTTGAAAACTCAGTGAGGAGTTATAAGCTGAGAGCTTTAAAAGGATGAGTGTAGCAGCTCTTTTGACCCAATAGCTCCTCCTGTTGTGTTTAAATATTGCATTCCTATGGGGCCCTTTTTTCCTTTGTTTTTTTTTTTCTTTTTTTTTTTTAATGCAGAAATTAGCACTAAATTTAAGCTGATGATCCTTTTTTTGTGGTGTTCTGGAGATTCTCAAAATATATATTGTTTTCTGAATTTATTAAAGAGATGATGGTACTGAAGAGCAGATGGTGCAGCTGGAACAGTCATAGAGAGCTTACTTAAATTTTCTTTGCCACTCAGCCTGCAATTTAACTCATGAAGCATCCAAGTAAGGCATTAAGAGACACCTCCACACCTCTTCAGGTAACTTTTTTTGCAGGCAGTGCTCTGCTGTGGACATTCTCATGTTTATTGATACACACATGGAGGAAGCAGCTCAGAGTGTGCACATGGAGCAAAGTGTTCTGTCTCACATCAGCACTAATAAAAGCTTAGGGAAGAAAAGGCTGTGCTTGCCTTGTGACTTGTCAATGGCTAGGAATTTACGGGGGTGTGTGTGGAAATTGTGGCTTTCTAAATGGCAACTTTCAAAGTTTCACAGATTGACCTATCCAGGACCATCCTGAGAAACAGAGTTGTTGAGGGAAGCTTTCAAAAACACGGTAAGCCTCTCACAAATCCTATGCGTGTGCCAAGCTGGGTGTATGAATTGTCTGATGCGAAGTGGTTGCTGCTATAGGTTGCCATGTGCTCAGATGCCAGTTGCAAGACGGGTACCTCAGAAACAAAAAATATACTTGCCTCAGTCAACAGAAACAACCTGGTGAGCTACAGAGAAAGCATCAGCTCTGGTTATAATCATAGATAGCGAGAAAAATGTATTCTGTGGAGAAATTCTGTTGGGTGCATCTGTTGCTGCTGGTGCAGCTGTTTCTTTAGATGGGCTTCATGTTACTTTACCAACTTCTTGTTCATGCTTCTTGGGTACCACTTTTGTGATTGGTAAAGAAGTTTTCAGCTAACACTGAAGTGTTGTTGAGTGAAATGTATTTGACAGCCGTTACTCCTGAAGTAAATCCTGTATGCTCAAAATCTGGTATTTTCCTACCTTTTAAAGTGTATTTTTACTTACAGCCCATTGGGGAATTTATTTTCTATTACTTTGATTTTTGGCGAGCCATTAGCAAAAATTGAACAGTTTGTGAGCCCATATTTCATTCCTGAAGTATGTGAAACTGGCAAAAATACTGACCCCACTACGTGCTTTTTAGAAAAGCTTTTATTAGAATATATATGTATAAAAATACTATAACTGTGCTTATTTTATTTTCTTCATAAAGTTGTCATCCTGCCTACAAGATCAGTTTACAACTGGAAAAGGTAGAAGTTAATGACTAATTCTGTAACTAGAAAAACATATGGTCTCCATAATCATTACATTTTTAATGATGTGGCTTGGACAGAGTCATTCATGGCTTGTAGAGTCATTCGTCCTTGAAAACTGCCTTACCTTGGGGAGGTATTGCTGACAGTCTCCAACATGCCATTAGCATTCTTTCAGGAGAAAAGACAATGCCAAGTGTATCATATTTTCTCAGATGACAGCCTTCCTTGGGCTGTATGCATACTTCTTTAAAGTGCTTAGAAACTGCCTGTGTAATAGTAATTGTTCATCTCTTTAAGAGGGGGGAAAAAAGTCCATAGAGAAGGTTGGCTTAGGGATAGATTCATTATCCAGTGCTAGATACTGACAACTGCAGGATGACCAAAAAAGCTACGTTCTTGATCAGATTTTCCATACATTTTTCCATGCTGCAAACATTTCACTGCAACAGGAGTCACTAACATAAATTAGTTTTAGTGTAAATAATAGAGACTTTGCTACAGACAGAGCGTCCAAACTGCAAGATGCTTTTTTTTCTGACTACTTACCTTCTCAAAAATAATGTGGCCAAGATTTTCAGTTTAGTGCTAGGTCCAAGATAATTAGTTCAGTGGGCCTTTGGTCTTAGGTTCTCAGCTGTTTTACTTAAATTTATCTGAGAGCTTGCTATGTCTTTACCTGGGTAACGATAAAGAATTCTTTCCAATACACTTTCTGTCTTGACAGCTGTTTGGTTAATCAAAAGCAGTTAACTTAATAGCAGGCTCTGATTTTATGCATATGAATTTGTTTCTAATTTTATGTGATTTAACTGATATTTCTATTAAAATTCAGAGCAATACAAGTGCATATCTTAAATGTCTTGCAAGGTTTGTTTATGTTTTGATGCTTTCTTACAATAATATACTTCTTAACTCTGGATTCTAACAGAGGCCCAACAAAACACAAGCTAGCTCATTAGCATATCCTCTAATTTCAGAAGAGCAACCCTAGAAAATATTGAATGAATGAACAAAAGGTAAACCACTTTACCTCCCCCAACACCGGATCAGGACAACCACGCTCAGGTTTTTTTCCTGATTTGAGTGCAGAGGAATAAATCTGACTGTGAGCATCAAGTATGAACGCAAGTTCACTCTGTGCTCATTTACCCTAGATGCTAATTTGCAACCAGGCCAAGCTTTCGTTTCTAGAATTTACATTTCTGTGCAATTAGGGTTTCCACAACGCCAGGCATTCCCCTGTGCCACATATATATTGATATATCGCTTCCATCCTAATCACCTTGCTATTGTGTCTGGTTCCAGGGTGCATGGTATTTATTTGCTTACATAGTTTTACCGAATTTAATATTAATTCCTCTACATTTCTAAACTGCATTTCAGTCTGCCCTGCTGCGCAGACGTCTCAGGCCTGCTCTAAGTTGCCGCTTATATCTCCGCAGCACATGTGCAGATCTGAAGCTCACAGGACCAGGAAAACATCATTATTGTCGGTATGTCTGACTGCGCTGGGAACACTGGTCTAGTTCATAGACTTTTACTGTCATGTCAAGGTAACCAGTTTGTTGGATAAACATCAGAGTTAGATTGCTAAGGATGTTCTGCTTCTTATGCTCTTTGCACGTTAGCCTGTGACTTTAAATTTTGCCATGCCCTTTACTGCCCAATTGCTGTCAACCTTCAGTTTATTTGGCAGTAACTTACAGCACAGACTAGTAGTCACAGAGAAACCTACGGTGTAGCCCCCACGGTATCATACTTCCCTGTATGAATGACAGCAACAGAGTAAAGCCCAACAGGAATCAGTGAACTCATCTTGCACTACAGGATCCAGCAAAACAATGTTGTGACAGTAAAAAAGCACATAAACGTACTGTAAAATAAATAAGATCCAGATTTTCATTATACAGCACTTCTGACATACCTCTTCTAAAATTCTTTCTTTTATAGATACTCAGCAAATACAAGAACAACACAAATGATTCATATTTTGCTCAGTTATGTCATCTTGAAGGCAGTTTGTTTTTATTTCCATTTGGATAGGATACTTTTCCACTTGTGTATTATGTAACACTCCTTATAAAAATAGAGACCGGGTCTTGCAAACACTTCCAGTTACTGAATGAGACTTATGACCATTTCAATACTCACACCCTCCTTATTATGCTCATAATACTTTAAAATGTTCCCCTTTTGGCTTGGAAAAAAAAAAAATATCCATTCTTGGTCTACATACAACTTTTCTGCCTAATGTCTAAACAAAATTTCTTCTCATTCTTTTTATTTCAGCCTGATGGAGTTTTATGTGTATGTTTATATACTTAATGTTAATAACAGATTTCACTCACTAATATTACTTAGACACAACTTACTTGGTTTGTTTCTCCAAACTTGAAACAAATTGATTCAGTTGATTCTCCCTTTGATTAGTAAAAGAAATTAATTATAAATATATACAATATAAAATGTTTTCTTTCAGCCAGGTGTGCGCTGGTTCTAAAAGAGAACAAAGAAGAGAAAATACTTGAGAAACCTATTGTTAATGTAACAGGTTGCAAAGCCAACAGCGTAAGAGTCAGAAAATTAAAACCTGTGGCTTCTCAAGCAACAATCTACATTCAGCATAGGCACAATGTTCACACTGCCCTTTCTTAAGAGCCGCTACTTGAGATTAGCGATTCATACAAGGAATAAATAAGGTATGTACTCTTTATAAAATATCTGCAGGTACAGAATTATTTTGTTTGGTGGTTTGTTTTTTTGGTTTTTTTGGGTTTTTTTTTTGTAGTGAAGATGAATTAAAACTCTGGAATAAATAAAGCAATTTGTAAACAGTAGATATGAAAGGAACCCAATTATCTGCCAGACATCCAATCTATCAAACCTTGAAAATAATTTAGGATTTCCAAACTCCTGGTTTCAAATAAGGTGGGTGGCAGCTATACATTAGTTACTTATTGAAAAATAAAAAACTAGCAAGAGAGCCGTGACAATCAAGAATATGTGTATTCCATAAAGAAAACAGGGAAAAGAGAAAACAAACCCAAAAAAAATCCAAGGCAAGAATGGGAAAGGTGGAAAATTATTTTGGGACCTAATTTGAAAGCAATTTCTTAATTCCTACCACTCTTTCCTTAATAGAAGGTGATGCACCTAACTCCATACATTACAGCACTGCTTTGGCATGTGAAGATAGTTTTTTATTGAAGATGTTGAATGATAACTACCAACAAAAATATTTAATTTCCTATAAGTCGCAGAACCAGTCTTAGCCCTTTTTAACTGCCAAAATACTTAGACAGTCTCTAAACAGTCATTGAATATTTTCACTTCTGCATGTGCTTGTTTCCATCCAACTAGCCAACTTTTCATCTTTGTGAATGCTTTACTGTCTGTGGAAAGTGCTGCTTAGGCAACATTTATGCTGAAGCTTTTCCCTTTATTGGTTATATACTGAGGCACCGGGACTTTTCTGGGTGCTTTGTGCACCACAGCCTGGACACTGAGTGTCCAGTGGAGCAGGTGCCTCTTGCACAGCTGGGAAAAATCTTCCCATCAGGAGGAAAATAAAGGTTTTCCTTTTCTTTTTTAGTTCAGCTCTTCTTTTTCATGTCAGTCATGCCACCAGCTTATGCATAGTGAAGAAGGTGGGGATTTTGGTCCAGTACAAACTGAAAACTTGAAGACCAACATGGGCCAATCCGGCTGAAAATTAGTAGGTGCTATGTCCCACCATTGCCTTTAGCTACACAACCCATATTTCTCTCTGTTAGAACCGCCCTTCCTTCTACCATGAGAAACACACTGTTCAAATAAACTCAGCATTAACATATTTGCCAGCCAGAAGGTATTGGGCACTTAATAATGAGGGTATGTTAATGCTGTTTTTAAATATATACCCAAGAAGATCATCTGCCTGAAGCTTACTGCTCACAAAATTTGCTTGACAGTAAAACCATCTCATAGAATCATTTAGGTTGGAAAAGACCCTTAAGATGATCGAGTCCCACTGTTAACCTAATGCTGCCAAGCCCACCACTAAACCATGTCCCTAAGCACCACATCTGCACATCTTTTAGATACCTCTGGGGATGGTGACACCAACACTTCCCTGGGCAGCCTGATCCAGTGCTTGATAACCCTCTCAGTGAAGAAATTTTTCCTAATATCCACTCTAAACCTCCCCTGGTGCAACTTGAGGCTTTTTCCTCTCATCCCATCACTTGCTACTTGAGAGAAGACCCACCTCACCACAGCCTCCTCTCAGGGAGTTGCGGGGAGCGATGAGGTCTTCCCTCAGCCTCCTTTTCTCCAGACATAACAACCCAGTTCCCCCAGTGGCTCCTCATAGACTTGTTCTCCAGACCCTTCACCACCTTCATTGCTCTTCTCTGGACACGCTCCAGCACCTCAGTGTCTTTCTTGCAGTGAGGGGCCCAAAACCTCACACAGTATTTGAGGTGCAGCATCAGCAGGGCTGAGTCCAGGGGTAAGATCCCTTCCCTGTCCCTGCTGGCCACACTAGTTGTGATACAAATCCGCACCATTAACTCGGAGGGTACAGACAAGGGCGGCTCCATCTGAAACACCAGGGATGTTATGCCACAGCACAGGGCCTGTTTGTTTGGCCAATAGTTCCACTAGATCTTGCACGTGAAGGCCATCTTTTGTGTACAGTGATGTTTACTGTAGGCTACACCTGGCATGTAAAAATGTTTGTTTTCTTCTCGTTTTCATTTTTCCCCTCCCCTTTCTGTTGTAAGGGCATGTGGCTCATCACACCCAGCGGGGAGAGCCCAGACACTCTGTGGTATATTTTTTCCCGGGTCCTTGCTTTGGTCTCATGGTCCGTTCTTTGCTTGATGTCTCTCCTCACCAAAAAACGGGAGCGCGGAGGGGCTGGCAAGTGTTTGTTACACACGGGGAGAAGAAGCCACGGGAAACGATGGCTTTCCCCCCCTTCTTCTTTTCCACCCCTTCCTCTCCAGATCAAGGCCAAATGCCTTTTTTAAACCCCGTCCCTCAGCCAAGCGCAAGCGAGGCCAGCGCGGCGGCCGCCAGGGACTAAATTTAGGGAAGGCGCCGCTTAAGTCTGGAGGAGATCCCCGAGCCGAATTCCCTGGGACACACCCGCGGGGGGGGCAAAGAAGTGATAGAGTGACTTGGTGGGTACCTGGCATTTAGCCAAGGTCAAACCACCGTAACTGGACTAAGCACAGAGCCAGCTGGTTGAAACTTACTCACCAACCTCTGAGCTCTCACAGATTTTTTACGACTGGTGCTGCAGAAAGAAGGAAGATGATGATGTTCTGGCACAGTGTTTCCCCAGAGTGGGATCCTGTGTTTTCAGACTGGCAAGCTTTGTTATCTGTTCCCAAAGCCAGAACCTCCAGTTCTACTCCATTTTACAGTGCCTCCTTTTAGTGTTTTCAGGCAAGGCCACTGTTAGACCATAAATTAAATTGCTAGGCTCCAATGATGTTTGAAGTAGGTAATTTTTTAGTGATCGGCAATTTTTATTGCTCTCAACAAGCAAGAAACCTCCAACCTACTTCATGTTCCAATACTACCAACAGCTGTGAAAACTGCAAACAAAGCTGTGACCAAGAGATCAAAAATACAGAAAAAAATGATTGTAAAAAGACTTTTTGGTAATAGTTACATCAATAACAAAAGGTCTTTGAGATGATACTGGGTTATGAATTATCTTGAAAGATGTTTTATTCACACAGAAATACAACTACCTGCATGAAAAAGATCTTCATAACCAGCAGCCACTCAGTATTCCATCAGCATCAAGATTAAAAATAGATATTGATTTATTATGGCTAGATGTCACTCCTTCTCTCTTAAAAAACAAGTTTCATGGTATTTTTTAAGTTTATGCAATAGACCATATGTCAAAGAGCTTATTTTGAGAAATTTTCATCTTGACGCTTCAAATGTTAAAGGTAAACATTTTCAAGACTGGCTTTTAGATCTATCATAAAAATTATAATTTTCAAATTTTAGTTTGAGAACTCCCTTCTTTTCTTTTTTCTAGGTATTTTACCCATTCCCACCAACACATTTAGCACCGACATTTCAGACCCCATTGCTCTAGATGATATGCTGCTCACTCTC